ACCAAGTGAACAGATGAACAGCAGGTAAACAGAAGTTAGCGTGCCCTTCTTCCAGCAGCCTAGATTTATTCTGTGAACGATTGATGTTTACTTATCTGATATATATATATATATATATACTCCATATCCAGGAATTTGATTTGCATTTTGAGGTTCAATAAAACGACTGGGTGGCTGAAAAACTTATAGGGTGCGAAATGGAGTCTTGAACGTAATGTCTTCCTTCACCACTACCCTGCCACTTTTGAGTGATTCTCCATGTGTCTGTGTCCAATATAATATCATAATCACATAATACTATGTTGTACTCTCAACTTTCACAGCGAAGATCATAGAAAATGAACAATAACACGCTGTTTTGGGATGGAAACAGATAAGTTGACTCTTAATATCAAGACTGACCATAGTCAGTCATTGCGATGCTATGTTATAGTGTTTCAATCTTCCATTTAATGTAGCAGAAAATTATCAGGCAACTGATCAAAGGAAGCACCATGAATTCATTGTTGCACATCCATTTGGTCTCAGGGATAATAAATTCACGTCTTTCCTCTCGGTGCTCATATCTCATGTACTTCTGGCGGAAAACTGTTCACAACTGGGCGTAACACCATACTCCTAATTCTGATGAAAATTCTTGGACATTCCATGACCGGTTTCATCCTTCTTGCGGTCCATCAGGTAGGCGCAGTCCCCGAGTTTCCATTTCACTTGAACCCAAATTGGATGGCATTTGACCGATGCTCTCACCCCCTTTGGTTCTAATGAACATCGTCATAAACGACAGATACGACAGAATTGATTTAAGCATCCCGTTGCAACCAAAGTATTGTATTGAGTATTTAGAGGATTCTGTTCACATTCTCTTTCGGACCCTTCTATCAATCGTGGAAGAATGGGTCATTCCAATTGATAATTCGTTCCCTGAATTCACTCAGTCTATACTGAAAAGAGAAGTAACACTGCATGACTGTTTCCTCCTCACCAATACGCATCTCGCGAAACTCTAGGGAGTCTTGAACCCGAATCCTTCCGGCCAGCAATTTGGACACTGCTCGTCCACGAGGGGCTGATCGGCATTTGGATAAACTCGCACTTAGACAGGACACAGCGCCACTCACTCTTCAGTCATCGAAACGACATCACGTGGCTTCGTATGAGTCTTGTAAGAAATTCTTATGCAGCGCAAATACACCAAGCGTAGTCCTCTCTATCCCCTTATCTGTATTATCAACAAGCTGCTCATTTATAACCGGCAGCTATCTCCATGGATGGCTCCTTGTCCAAATACCGTAACTCAGTAGTTAGGCGCATATTTCGAACACAAACCCGCTTTTTAACTAATCCTGTCCAAACAATCTCGAAGTAACCCAGCTCTGCTGTATCCTCCGAGTTGCACAGCAGCTGCGCACCGAAAGGGTGTAAACGTTGAACAACTATTGGACGCAATATGTTACTCATAAGGTTGCTGAAAGCTCTTCGACAGCCCACAACCGGTTTCGCCCTTCTCGGGGCTCATCAGGTAAGCGCAGTCACCAAGTTTCCGTCCACCTCATGTTCTACTTGAACCCAAGTTGCATGAAATTAGCGAAAGACACTCATTTGCATACCAATTTGGTTTTGACGGGAGACTTACCTGGAACCCAGCCAAATCAAAACAAAATTAGTGTGCAAATGAGTGTATTTCCCTGGACCATTATTACTTACTATAATGATATCACAAAATTAGTATCTTGTAACATTATTTCGCTGCGTCCGGTTATCTCCATTCAGCTACATTGGGCTTATTGGACACACTTGTATACTGAAACAGCATCAAGTCACGAGAATGGGATCCAAAAAGCGCGTCAGCATTTTTCAACTGTTTATACAACCTTATAACACCATGTTCAAAGCCAACACCTATTTTCTTTCAGTTTGATCCATCTGCCGTCACGCCTGTCCCGACAAATCCGGTCAAACGAAACCGCATCGATATCACGGGTGCACTTTAACTTGACCGTGGGTGTGGTCCACTTGACAATGGATCAGCCTCCGCAACCATACTCGCTTCACGTCATATTTGTGTGGGGGTGTGCCATCAACATGTGACTGACATGCGTCCGACGTGAATTGCACTTGACCCACCGACTAAACCGGATGTTCAGGTTATCCACATGTCGCCTTCAGTGGACGAACTCAGTTGCAGACAGTTACGGAGTACGTGCAAGCGAAGCCACGGAAATTGAAGAAGCACAGAATAGAGGAAACCGATCTCCCATAAATGTCGATTGGAGTCGCCTGTCACCATGTTGTATGACCTCGCCCCTTGTCTGTTAGCGACCATTTTTGAGTAAACAAACTACAATGTGGAAAAAGCTTGTCAAAAAGTGTACAGCCACACACTTTTTCTCGGTACCACAATCAAGACAACAAGATTATTTTCTAACAGGAGAGGACGCGGAAATGTGCTTGGGATCCTTGGTTTCATGAATACCTCCTTAAACCAAGTATGATAACAGAAGTATATCGGATGAGGTCCGAAATTATTGTCACATTACACCAACGTGAGCCATTCAGTGTATTATGTGAAATGGATCGCACAACTTCATGTACTAGTCATGAGAGCTTTCGAACATCATCATCACCATCATCGTTGACAGCAAAACAAAGGTAATCTCGTGCCCCAACGTTCCAAGTCGCGCCTGAACAACCGTGGCTGCGGCCCACAACTGGCACTTTGAGGCCACATATTTTTGCAAAATACCGGATGCCGGGTGTATAGTTAAGCTATGTTCTTTATTCCCTCATGCTAATTTGTTGTTGTTCAGTAACGTTGGTAGGTATCAGACAATGTTATTCGAAGTTGCTTCACAGACATGTAGGATTTAGACTCGTCAAGTCAAGTCA